ACTATCAAAATGTCTTTTGCAAAACAGAAACTTTTGGTTGAACAAGGCTTTAAATAAGCTAAACAATAGAAGTACCTGGGAAAACGTGTTCATAACAAACAAAAATAAAAAAATTAAACTCTTTGTGTCCATGTCAGTCTCAACCCCCAGTCTCCCACCCTCTAATCCAACACTCTACTCACTGTGCTATAGGAGGCTTCTTATAAAATGAGCTGCACATTACACAACAACACCGTGACGGCTTTTTATACGGAGGAGCAGGAGCTTCACCTGGGGGTTACTAGGTAAAGGGCTGAACGCAGGTTCTGGTGGGTTGTCATATGGCTTCTGACATTACAAAATGTAGGAAGTATAAAACTTGTCATTAATATACATTAAAATACATTTACTTACAGTAAATATGGCCCTGGGTGCATTTTTTTTGGTCCTAGGACATTTTTCTTAAGAAGTACATACCCAAAGTTGAGTAAAAAAACTTTTAAAAAGTAAATTTTGCATAATAGGTCCCCTTTAAAGATCTACCGATTTTTACGTTTATAAAATAAGAAAAGACGCACCTCATTCAGATTGAGCTCAATTATTTGGTCGTACTTGCAGCCTTCATCTGGTACCAGCAAGTCTTTGTACTCATCAGCCAATTTGGAGATTTCTGAGGGGGAACAGTGAGAGTAGATCAGTGATGAGACACAACAAACTCTCAACAGGAAAATTAAACAAACAAATATGTCTAAATCCATCCAAGTGTAAACGCACCTCCCCGCCCGGTCTTCTCCAGGTAGGTCCTCATACGATTATTGTAAGGAAACACGGAGGTTGTGGCTCCGATTTCTGCCCCCATGTTGCAAATGGTAGCCATTCCTGCACAAATACAGAGATAGCTACAGTGAAGAGGTATGCTGTTTGATCGTTTCAAACAGGTGTTTCTCTAACCCCAACAGCCCATTTTTATCAGTCTGATGACTGTTTATGAACCACAGGTCTGAAAGGTTACTGAAAATAAAACTGTAATTAAGGCCCTGTCACACTATAATTATTCAGACAACTTATYCAGACTAGTAAAAATTTTGTGATGACTAAATTACTCATGTAGGCTATATATTTAATCTAATTGTTACCATTAACCCAAGTAATTTAGTTGAAAAGCCCTGATCTACTGTATATTTAACAGGGGGACATCAGTGAGAGTTGGCGTTGAGTTCTATCTCGTCAAGCTTTCATTCATCTGAAAAAATTCTTGAGAAAATAGTTGCAATTCAGATATTCAGATATTAGGATTATAGGAAAAACTCATTGGTTTAAGTCATATTTAATTCAGACATARTCTCTTTGGACCATTTACCATATTTATTCAATAGTTTCCAATATGCTCATGTTGATAAAACAACTTCATAAACCAGATTAGTTGTGGAGTTCCAATAATCTTTACTTAATGCTTCCATTTTATAATCTACTGAGTCTTATTCTGATCTTATTTTATGCATTATAACTGGGTTTGAATCCAACTGTTTTGGATTGAATTGGATTGCATGAACTAAACCATTTTGCTTTGTGTACAGAGGAAAACGAATGATTTTTGTTATTAATTGTTAGTATATAAATAAACTGTACTAAATTAAATATTACCAGTATTAACAGTCCTTTATTTCAATAAAAACATAATATTTTATATCTGACCCGTGCAGGAAATGGAGTCAACTCCTGGCCCGTGGTATTCAACGATGGCTCCCGTTCCTCCCTTTACTGTGAGGATACCAGCCACCTTCAAGATGACGTCTTTTGGAGACGTCCAGCCTGAGAGGTTGCCGGTCAGCCTCACACCAATCACCTTAAAGAATGAAACAGTGAAGGTTTAAGACGTGCAGAGACTAAACAAAAACATTGAGAGAGAAAATAAAGACAGAACAAACGTCTAACTTTGGGACATTTGAGCTCCCAGGGAATTCCGGCCATCACATCGACTGCGTCAGCTCCACCAACTCCAATGCAGATGGCACCAAGCCCACCGCCGTTTGGTGTGTGGGAATCTGTGCCGATAAGCATCACTCCTGGGTAGGCGTAGTTCTCAAGGATGATCTGTTTACATATAAAATATATCACTGTTAATCTCTAACATTATAGCCACAATCAGKACAAATCCCAGTTTAAACCTTTAGTAAGAATACCTGGTGGATGATTCCAGAGCCAGGTTTCCAGAAACCAACTCCATATTTTGCCCCAGAACTTGCCAGGAAGTTGTAGACCTCTTTGTTCACTTCCTTAAAAAAAAACCAAATGTTCCTGCAGCTAAGTTCTGCATTGCATTTCAGTACAAATAAAATATAATGTGCTAATGATTGTCCTCCCTACCTTCGCCCTGGCCAAATCCTTTGCTCCTCCGATCTGAGCCTCGATCAGGTGATCACAGTGGATGGTGGAGGGCACYGCCACCTTCGGCAGGCCGCTGCTGATGAACTGCAGCATCGCCATCTGCGCCGTGGCGTCCTGCATGGCCACGCGATCCGGACGCAGTCGCAGGTAGGTGCGGCCGCGATCGATCTCCTGGTTGTGGGGATCATCGAGGTGGCCGTACACAATCTTTTCTGCCAGAGTGAGTGGACGGTTCAGCCTGGAGGAGGAAATTTAAAAAAAAAAAGAGACAAAAGTATTAGATTGGATATGAGTTTGCTGAACATGGTAAAAGGTAAARGTTTAAAATCAAACATTGACCAAATATTTACACATCACTTCGTTTTAGTTGCGGGATTAAATGGGAGGGATGGAAGGGATTAAATACTGACCGTTTTCGGACGATGTCGACGTTGGACTGGAGCTTCTCGTAGTTGACAAAGGAGGTGGGCTCAAAGCGGCTCATGGACACTTTGGCCTTGGCTCTGTAAGCTGCCGATACYTGAAGACGCCGTACCCCATGGCCCAGGACCAGCTGGAGACAACAGCAGCACAAACACGTTGATTCAGAGTGCTTAAAGGCACAGTGTGTAGGATTTGTTGTTTTCAGTGACATCTAGTGGTTGAGTGGTTGAATCATCCTCCCTGGTCCTCCCCCC